AAAATGACAAACAGAACATTGGTACCTTACACATTTCAGTTACAGGATGTTGAATTTGGGGTTTTTTACCTTTGTAATGATGTAAAGAAATTTAAAAGCCAGGTGAACTAGAGGGGGAGGAGATCCTTTGTCCCGTACTATATCCAACAAGGAATTCATCATCCCCTCTGTGAAAGGAGACGGAAAACAGTGAGACTACATGCAGTTCACTTACAGTTTTTCATACTTCTAATAGTAAAGAGGGAGTTAGTAATTATATAATGTAAGTAATACAGCCACATCAATCTCATAATAGAAACGTGGATCTTACAGTTTAACAGATTTTCAAGTAAATACACAAAAATTATTTAAAGAAGACATTCCTACCTAAGTGGTGGTCCAAAAGGTGAGGCTGCTCCTGGTACTTGTCCATTATACCTGAAAAATGAAAAAGGCATCTGTAATAAACTATTCAAATGACAGGCTTTGAGAGGCATTAACTGTGAGATACTCCCTGACTCTGGACAGCTTTAGCTTAAGACTCCTGTATCCTTGGGCTGCCACCACCTGTAAGAGAGGTGGAAAAGTCAGACAACTATAGTTAGAAAACAGTGCTCCCTGGACACACTGGATGTCACCCCAAGGCTGTCATTCCCAAGCCTGGAAAGTATCTAAAGCTGCAGTTCCACTCCAAAGGATCTGCACTCACACAGGGTACAGGCACAGCAAAATTCTCACCTCTTTCTTGGGAGCTCCCTGACTACAGCAGACAAACATCCCACACAGCAGCACTGTGCAAGTGAGGGTCCTCACAATCCTGAGAGCTGCATTTTTATTTTGAAATAGAATACAGGGAACTATTCAGCAAAGAAAAAAGAATCCTTGACAAATTTTAACCTGGACAAACACAAACTGCAGCTACTCCCATCTGTGCCCCTCAAAACTATTCACATCACTTACTCTGTCACTGTTCACTCACTCTCTTTTGGTCTCTTCCTTTGGGGTACTGATTCAAGGAAGGACAAATTGAAACTGAATATTGAAAAATACCTAGGAACAACTTGCCAGGGTTTTTAGACACAAAAGCTTTTCAATTTAAACCCAGAATCAACAAAAATCAGACAGAAATGAGAACTGGATTCCAGGAGAAATCATCAAGCGATCCAATGTTGCACTGGAGATGTCTGGGGATATTTTATCTATTTGGTCAGAAAACAGCTTTTTAATTAGAAAACTAAAACCTCCTTAACCTCTCCTTCCCCTGCATTTGTTTCTCTCTCAAACCATTTTGCTCTCTGTCCTTTTTCTCTGGCTTACACATCAACACTTACACTGAAGGTGTGACTCAACTCCAACAGTGCTGCACTTGACCAGTGGATGACACTGCACAACCACTTTCAAGACACCATCCAGCAGTATCCCTGTGCAATTCCACTGGGATACCTCAATGCCATCAAGAGGGAAACCTGAGCTCCTCATCATCACTGACTTCCCACTGTAATTAACGATGCCTTAAGCTGTGCACAAACAGAACTAGTGGACACAAATTCCACCAACACCCAAAGCAGCAGCTTTCCAGCCCAAGTGGAATTTAACAGCAAATTCTTTTCCCAGATCCCAGCCTGGCAATGTAAATAAACCCCTAAATATAAAAGCTGAAGAGAATGAAGCTAAAACAGTCCTTCTAATGCTATTATTTCAGAAGAGATCTTCCCTTATTTTCCTACAAAATTGTAGTTGCAGACTAAACTGTTTCCCAAATTTCTGTTTCTAATGGTTCACCAAAAATTGAGCATCAAGAGTTTTTGTGAACCTGCATTAAACCCATGTGGAATGGATGATCACTGTGCTCCCTGCACACGGATTAAAGGTATTCCCTAAGTTTCAGCATTCCAGCCCACACATTGACCACAAACTTACCAGATTTGGGACATTTTGCCCAGGAAGGATCAAATGACACCTGAGGACACTGAATATTATAACCCAATACTGAACCACCTGCACAGCACCTGTCAGTTTTAAGTATATTGAGCCTGTATTTACTGGGCAACAACAGGCAGGCAGAAAGCTCATAAATCCAATTTAAATACCCAGAGACAGCACACATGATGTGACACAGAGAGGCACAGCAGGGTGATCTGCTGGGGGAGATGATGCCTCTCAGACACCAAGATTTTTGCAGCAATGGCTTTTTCTACTCCACTAAAACCTGACATTTCACCTGTGACACTGAATGATCAAAGAATGTGAATGTTCAGGGTACTTCTACCTGAACAGCTACATGTTCATCACTGGCCTCCTCGGACGGAACAGTCAATTCAGTCAATCAAATACAACGCTAGTAAGGAACTTCTGCAGGGTCAAATCTCTAAATTTGCAGGTTCTGCTTTATTGTTTGCTTACCTGGTTTCTTTTTGTCAAAAACTTACAGTCAAAATATTGATCCAGCAGCTGTAAGTTTTTGCAATTTCGCCGCTCTCTGCAGAAGTATTTGCAAAATGCCAGTCTGCGAAAGTCAGTTTGTGAATTCATGAAGTGCTGAATTAACTTTCGCAAATCACCTGGTCAGAATACTGACCCAACACACAGATGTGCCTTGTAACAGGCTGATTACCCAGGACACCCCTACAGGCACCTAATTACAGCCCTCCCAGGTTCAGCTGAGGTCCAGGGGCAGAACAGCTTTCATCAGGTGGCACAAAAATCAGACCCAAGTTACCTCCACTCAGAAACAAATACATGATCTGTATGGCTTCAAAACCCTTCACGTTTCCTATGAAGCAGAAGAGCAAAAATATTAAATTGCTACTTTAAAGCACAAAATGCGTGTGTGTTGATGAGTAATTAGCTACAAAAATTATTTTATTTGACAGATATATAAACTTTAACTGAATTCCAGCCTGCATTTGAATAGGAAACTGGAGGCAAAACAAGGGTCAGAATTCTGATTTCTGAGATCTAGACCCAGGATTTTTATTTATAGTGGCTAAATACCAAGTAATAAAGAATGGGAAACAAAACGAGCAAAAAACCCAAACCTGAACCACCTGTTGATAAAGTTCCAGCATTATCAATGACCTAAAAATTAAGAGCTTTAGCGCCTTTTTGGTTATCAGCAATAACAAAATGATACACAATAGAAGATTTTAAATAACAAAGTGTTGGTGTTCAGCAATAGCACGCTCTGTGGATGCCGTGCTTACCCACGAACCGCTCCACGGCCATCTCCCGGGTCACCAGCTCCCCGAACACGCCCCTGAGGTTCGCGATGAGCTCGGAGACCTCCCGGCTCTCGGTGAAGCTCTCCAGGTAACTCCTCTCGCTGACGGCCCCGGGCTCCCGCTCCTCGCCTTCCTCCGGCCCCGGCCCCGCTCCGTCCATCCCGTCCCGGTGTTGTGACACGGGGCAGGGCAGGTCGGTGCCGGTGTCAGTGCCGCCGCCCCGCAGTCCCCGCCCGGCCGCACCACGCGGTCCCTCCCGCGGCCCCGCCCGGTCCCGCCGCCTTCCCCCGCCGTCCGCCCCGCGGGGCTCCGGGCACAGCCCCGCGGAGGGTGAGCGATGCTCGGACCCCCCGCCCGTCCCGGAGCCACGGCCGGGACAATCAATGGCCGGGACAAACACCCGGGGCCGCTCCGGGCCCGCCCCGCGCCGCCGCTGCTCCCGCCTCCTACGGGCGCCGGTAGGGAACAAGGCAGGCGGATCCGCGAAGCGAGGGGCGGGAGAGCGGAAGGGACACACCCACCTTGCGGACAGGGGCACACCCACCATGGGGACAGGGACACACCCACCATGGGGATAGGGACACACCCACTATGGGGACAGGGACACACCCACCATGGGGATAGGGGGACACCCACCCTGGAGACAGGGACACCCACCCTAGGGACAGGGACAAGCCCACCCTGGGGACAGGGACACCCGCCCTGGGGATAGGGACACACCCACCTTGGAGACAGGGACAGCCGGCCTGGGGATAGGGACACCGAGCAGAGACACCCACCCTGGGGGCGGGCACACTCACCATGGGGGCAGAGACACACCTACCCTGAGGACAGGGACACACCCACCTTGGAGACAGGGACACCCAGCCTGGGGACACGCACCCTGGGGACAGGGACACCCACAAGAGACACCCACCATGGGGACAGGGGGACACCCACCCTGAGGACAGGAACACACCCACCATGGAGACAGGGACACCCACCAGACACACCCACCCTGGGGACACCCAGCAGGTACAGGGACACCAATCCTGGGGACACCAATCCTGGGAAACCCACCAAGGACACCCACCAAAGATGGGGACATCCATACTGGGGCTGGGGACATCCACCTTGTGGACAGGCACCCTGGGGACAGGGACACTCAACTATGGGGATAGGGACACCCACTCTGGGGACATCCAGCCTGGGGACATCCCCCCTACCAGGGACAGGGACATCCAGACTGGGGACATCCAGCCTGTGGACACCCACCCTGGGGACACCCACCTTAGGGACACACAGCCTGGGGGCACTCACCAGGTACAGTGACACCCAACTATGGGGTCCTGGGGATGGTGGCAAGGATGGGCACGTGGGAATGGGCTCCCAAGCTTGGGGACACCCAGGGAAGGGGACCCAGGGGTGAGGATAAGGATAGGGACCCCTGGGGAAGGGAACAGGGATGGGGACATTGGTTGCACAAGGAGCGTGGGAGATAGCTGGATGGTGCTGTTATTTATCCATGGCCTCCATTCCTCACCCAACCCACACCAAGACACTGCATATGACATTAACCTGGTTAATAACCTAAACCTCCCAAAATTCTGGAAACAACATTGGAACCCTGAAAGCTACAACTAAATCTCCACTGACTGTACAGGAAATTCAGGGGGGCACTTCAGCCTGGCCAGGATGTTGGGAAGGCAGCTGCATTTTCCTGGCATCCAGCAGCTCCATCCACACCCAAATATCTTCAGGCTCAAATTCGTTAAAACAAACCACAGTCACCAGACACAGGTACACCAAACACCTGGTTTCTGCAAGGCAAGTGTTTTATTTGAGAAGAAGTTTAAGTTCACAGCAGTGTAATACAGGTGAGTTTGTTCACATCCATGAACACCAGTGCACATGCACTCTGCTCTTTCCCAAACCTGGATCTTCCAGCCATCAGCTACAATTCCAGCTGTGTCCTAACTCTACTATTCCACTTTTCCACTGTTCCAGTTCTAGTAAGTTTTATAACCAACCGTGACAGATTCCCCTGATTCGAAGGAAGTAACAATTTTTCCCTATTTGTACCCTATTTACAGAGAACAAAGTGCATTGTTTTAAACTGTACCAATTACAACATCAAACTTTAAACTTTATGAAATCTTTATAGCACAACCATTTAAAGTGCAAAAAAGTCTAAACATATTCTAGCATTTTGAATATTATATTTTAGTACTTGTCATGACAACAGTCAGAAGCCTAAATAGTGAGGCCATTCTTAGCCAAATCTTCAAATTCACATAAATACTTGTGGAACTGCACTTACTTTTACTTTCTTTACAACTTTCTCCCATTAAAACCCCACAGATTCACTAATGCACCCTAGCTCACATCGTAACCGCTGTCTTTGCTGAACAGTTTTCTCCCCAAATTCCCACTGCCCGTGTTTTCTGTAAAAATAAAGCAGTGAGGAACAATAAAACCCTTACAAAGTGGATTTGGCACTGTTCCTTCCATAACCCAGCGGTGGCACAACAGACCAGCTTTGCCCACTGCACCTCATCTTCTAAAACTGAAAATACATCAAGCACTGACCAACCCAGCAGCCACAGGTGCTTCTTGTCACCAAAATATGGAGCCTCTCTCCCACATTTTGCTGTCCTTTTACAAAGTTATTTAAATATGTTACTATTGTAGTACAACACACTGAAATATCACACTAAATCTATGAAATGTTATCAAACTCAGGTGGTAACAACCCACTTCTGATCATACAGTTAATTACCAAGGAACTAGATATCCTTTTTTAGGAAATACCACTGGAATTTCAGTTCTCACAGCAAGAGAAAAACAAAAGCCTGAGAGTAAATTACATTAAATTAAATATTAGAAATATTATTAATTACATATGTTTGCAAGTGCAGCCAAAGGGCCTTGTCTGCTCGTTAAACCAAAAAGACAATGTTTTCATCTTCAGATTCACAGAATCTGATTGGAACTTTGGATTAGGACACTTGACATGAGAAAGGAAAGGAAAAGGGAAGACTGTAGAAATATTTATGGGAAAAGGGATGGGAACAGGGACAGAAAACTAAACAGAACAGTAAGGAACTCATTGCTACTTCCAGCACCACAGTCCCACAACTGCAGCTCTCCATAACAAACTGCTGATGGAGCAGCAGGAGTGGGAAGATGCTGCTGTGGAACAACTGTGGGAAAACAGCAGCTATGAGGTGAGACAGCAGAGTCAGGCTGACTGTCCTGCTGCTTTTACAACCCAGTGGGCCCTCCACAAACAATACAGCCCTGTCCTTCAGCAGGGGAGGAATCTGTGCTGGGAAATTAGTGCTCAAGTTAAAAATTACACAATTGCTCTTAATTAGCGAGGCTCAAAAGTCCACTAAGCCTATTCCATGTCAGGTGTTTCACCACCAATTCCGAGTTTGTGGTACTTTGGATGAGCAGGGGCTGCCCATTCCTAAGAGAATATGTTGGAATTTCTCAAACCTACCTGGTTACTTTAGGAGTTTTCTCATCATGTTTAGGGTAGAGCCCCTGTACCCTGTCCCAAAATGGTTCCAGTGGTTTATGTAATTAAAGAGCTGATAGAGCTTGTTTCGTTTGTCAAATCCTGGAGCTTTGGGTATTTTGCTGTGATAGGCAGAGAAAAAACAGCTGCTGAAGCCCCCAAACATCCCAGCAATGGCCAGTTCGAACTCCGAGTGGCCGTAGAAGGAGGCGGGGTCAAAGATAATGGGCCCGGAGCTGTCCTCAGCCACATTCCCGGCCCACAGGTCCCCGTGCAGGAGAGAGGGAACAATTTCCACATCACAGAACATTTCAGGGATCTTTGGCTGAAAAAGGACAAGCAGGCAACAATTAAAGAGTTATGAAGAAAATATTACATAAAATAAAGTACTGTAGGACGTAAGAGCCTGAGCTGGCCAAATGCTGCCCCCATGGAGTGCTTGGGAAGTTGATGGCTACAAACACAAACCTGAACTGCCAGTAACAAATATTCTGGATTTGTTCTTGACAGAGCTTAGCAAAGCATTTATCACAGTCTAGTATCAACACCTAATACTAATGTATTATTTCTACAAGTGGATAGTGTTAACTGTCAGAGAAATATAAAATAAATTTTGTTTAAATTAAAACATTTCAGTGGCAAAAATGGCAGCAGAAAAACATCTACACCACTGCAGCAGAATTAAAGAATAAATTTGTGACATGGAGCTTGCAGAGGAACACATCCCTGGTGTTCTCTGAGTGCTGCATGGAGCGTGGCCTGACCCAGCCTGGCTGTGAACCTGGACCATGTAAAAAAAAACTGTCCAGGCAGCAGAATCTCACCCAGTTTGTAACACCAAGCTCTTAGACTGGATTTAGCATCTTATCATTATCAGAAATAAATGTCACTGTTGAATTACAGGTTTATTTTCACTACCTATAAAAAATGAAAGAGCAACAGGAATCCTGTTTGGCTGACAGAGTTGTTGGACCCACTGTCCACTCACCACTGCTCATCCTAAGCAAAGTAAATCTCTTATAAAACACCTTTACAAACCCACTGATGCACATTTTCTGACATTATAAACAACAGATTTAAGACATGGTTCATACTTTCAGCTGTGACCAAAGTTCTCTGGCTTCTCTGTCTCCATAATCCCTTTCAATCATATCCAGCTGATCCTGGAGTCGGTGACGGATGAAGAAGGTTGGCCAGTCACTCTGCCACTCGTTCACCTGGAAAACACAGCAGAGGTTTGTGACACACAATTTTAATATATGTGCAGTCAGAGTTGATAATAGCTAGAGATCCATGTTTGATGATGACACAACGGCCTGGACCGTGTCAGTGTGACCAATGCACAGTGGCCTGAGATGCTTTGTTGGTTGTTCTTTTGGGAATGCTGCTCTCTCCCACACTTAGGTGGGGCTCTCTTTAACATAAGTTGAGGTTGTGGCTATTTTCATTCAGTCCCATTTTCTTAATGTATTTTAGAAGGGGAGTTTCTGGTGAGATCATGTCTGTTGTTCCATATCATGTTTCAGATCTTTCTAGAAATGCAGAAATATTTGTTTATTTTTACTGGGTAACTCATTTCTAATTTTGTGAAAAGTATTTAGCAAAGAGTTTGAGATATTGAAAGTTCAATCAGTTAAGTCACAGAATGAAATCCTGGCATGTGCAGAGCCAGAAAATGGTGGTATTATCTCTGAGAGCCCTTTCCATGTCTTATGTGACGTGTTACATGATGAGGCTCTCCTAAAGCAGTGGGGTTTGCCATTTGAGATCCATATAGTAGGGGGTGAATAAAAACAAAACCAAGACATGGTGTGGGAAGGGACACTGATTTGATTAAGTATCACCAAGCTAAAGGGCCACCCCATCATTTCAAACTCTCACTCTATCCACCATGTGCTGGCCACATGCTCTGTATCAAGGCACACATGTTGGACAGTCCTTGTGTTCCCTGTGCTGTCAGGGCAGGATGGAACAGGGAAAGCAAAGCTGAAGGTCGATGGAACAGGGAAAGCAAAGCTGAAGGTCAATGGAACAAGGAGTTTCCAGACCTATCCAAGTGCCTGTCGGCTTTCCCAGCCATGGAATGTACCATACCTGTGGTATGTAACCACAGCAGGTGGTTGTGTGGAATCCAAACTTATCCACATACTGGGACTCAGAGTGACCGGCTCCTTTTCCTACAAAATAAAATAAATATTAGGGGCTCTTACAGGGTAAAGTTTGCAAACACAGACCTTAATTTCAGGGAATAGGCAGACAAAATAACTTTAAGCAGGACAAGAGGGACACAGCTCACATAACTGTTCCATTATTGACTTTAATTATCAATAAAATTATAATGCAACGCTGCACCACAGCCAAAGGAATTGCTCTCTTTTTGGTTTAGGACATGACATCAATACTCTACCAATTGTGCTTCCCTCACTCCTCAGCTTCTCTCCAAGTTTCTGGTTATAAAGATGAAGCTCTGCTATCTGCTCTCCCAGCTTTGAGGAATATCTGTAGGATCAAGAAAAGCAAAATTAAACTGGAAGTAGACAAGTAACAGGGGAAAAAGACCCCTCGATTAAATATGAACAAGGATATTTTTGGCAAACATAGAACCTTAATCAACTTCACAAGCACATAACAGGCAAGTGACTTAACAACAGCTCTGAAGACACAGGCTGTAGCAGGTAATAAAATGGACATAAGTCAATGTTCTTGCAAGAAAGGTAAATAGAGAACAAGGTGGTATAAACAGGAGCAGAGAGGGCAGGAGAATCAAGAGCTCTTCCTTATCAGCCCCACTATCAGCTGAGGACAGAACATGGTATCAACTATTGGGCTTTATCCTTCCAGATCAGCTGAACAGCAGTGGGAATGGTAAGTCTGGGAAGAAGCCAAAGGCAGAGACTGAGTCAAGGTTGCTTAATGCTGAAGATAGACAACTAAAAACCAGTTAAATATTCCACATGTACCTTAACAGCAGCTGCAGAGATGCCAACTAATTTCTTCTAATGCCCAGAATAGGGAGAAAATAATGGGTTTAAAATCACAGTCAGGAGGACTGAGGATAGACATTGGAAAATCCTTCCTAGGAACAGTGGGATGGATTGGAATGGACTATTTGAGGAGGCTGTGGACTTGCCAATATTGTCCCAATAAAAATATACAGGCTGGACAAACAGCTGCCAGAAAAGTCATGACAATGTTCCCATATGGGCCCAGGATGCATCAGTGAACTCCTGAAACCCTGTTTTCAAGAACATGTGACCCCTGAATGCCATGTTCAGGTTGGCTGACAGATGAAATGAAACTTCATGTCATCTTAACTTAATCATGACTTAAATCATACTGGAAGATTCTACTGAGAGAAAAGACCTGAGCAGCCTGGAGGGTTAAAGAAACCTGATGAGCTGGGAAAAGAAACTCCATGAAAAATCTCATGAGAGAAAGATGGACCAAAATCATCTGTAACAAACACAGATGTCAACAGAGAGAAGCTCCACCTCTGAGAAATCAGAGCAACTCTGCTCATGAAGTTTTCTGACTGACTGCAAGATACACAAAAATATACCCCAAAACACAGTACAAAGAGGTGTATGGACATACTTGCTGAGGTGCTTCATCTTCAGGTACTCCATGGCAAACATTGCTCCTCCTCCAGGCAGGTCAATCACTTTAATGGGCTGAGGCACTCTCACAGTGTTGGTTTTCTGGATGGCTTCCAAACTTGCCATTTCCCCTTCAAACATTTTTCTAGCCTGCCAAGGAATAAGAATATCCCTGGGCTAAACTATGGATGTTTGCAATGAGTACTTTGGAAAACAACAACCCCTTTACAGACTGAAAAGGAGTTAATTCCTCTTCATAAAAGGACAGAGCTGCAGCAAGGCTTCAGTCCATACAGGGAGACACGAGTGCCTTAATCCTAACTTCTTTTTTTTCCTAAATTCATTCCAGGGTAGTAGGATATGTCACATTTCACCCTGATTTCCAGCTGCTTATGGAGACACCAAACTACTTGGATATAACAGCACCTCTGAGGATAATGCCCAAGACCTACTCCTCCAAAACCCCAAGTAGCCACTGCCAAATGAGGTAAAAGACTGAACCCTTAAACTGGTTTTCCTTTCCTCAAGGTCAATGGCCAGTGATGGAGATGACAGCACAAACACTCAGCCTGTGCTTTGTGTTTTTGAAGCAAAGCTGCTGTTCTTCACAGCAGTTTAGGATGGTTTTGATATTGATAATGCAAATTTCTGATGCACTGCAGTGTTAGAAAAAGCAATTGAGTATTCATTTAGTAATAGAAAAGTCAAGAGTTTGGCCTGAAGAATTTTACTTCTAGAAATGCAAAAAGCAATGGGGACATTTGAAACCTCTGTAGCTTTAAAGATAATACGTGATTTTTAGCACTGGCCCCTGTTTGTTCCCTCCCACTATTGATCCTCCCAACTGGAACATGAAAAAGGGCACAGTGAATGCAAAGTCAGCTCTGGGCTTTTCCAAACCCCAAGTGCCACAATGACAGCTTTGTGCGTGGCCTCCTTTTAGCAGGAATTGCCATGAGGGTGAGGGTTATCACGTCGCATTACACTGCATTTCACACTAACCAAACCTGCTGCTCTAATACTGGATATAAAACAGATACAGCTTTTAAAAGATCACTGAAAGCTGTAAAAATTAAAAGTCAGCCTGAAAGTGCAAAACTCTGAATTGTTAACAATGAAAACCTCTCTACATGCAACCATAGGAGTACTCAAAGATCTGCTGGCACTGACCTGAGGTTTGTGGTTGATTTTCACGAACACCCGCCCGCTGTCTGTCTCATACGTTTGGCCCTGGCTGATACATCCTCCCCCCGAGCTGCCCACAGCCTTCAGAATGTTGGTGTTCAGCTCTGCCTTCAGGATTTTCTCCATGGTCATTCCCGGGCTGCTGCAGCCGCTCTCCTGTTAAACCTGCTGCGAAACAGGATTAAAGGTCTGGGTCCTTCTGTCACCGTCACTCTGAGGCAGGAAGGGCCCACCCACCACGGGGAAAATAAAAGAGCGGCTAAAAAAAATTAGCGAGTCCAAGCAGAATGTTTCAAAACGCTTTCCTCGCCCCACGTGGGCTTTTATGGCTATACACGAAAAGCAAAAATCTTTAGAAATGTTTGCAAGAATAAAGCGGAGAGGTTTATTCTAGGAGAGGTGGGTCCTGGGCCCTCTCAGCGGTGCCGGAGCTGCTGGTATTTGTAGTTTGGAGCCGCTCTAAAGCTCCGGGATCGCCTGTGGAAGGACCATTTTAGGCCAATCCACTAGAGGGAGGCTGAAGGCAACCTCAGGAATGGCCACGGGCGCTGGGCCGGGGGGATGTGGTGCGAAATGCAGAGCTGCGCCTCAGAAGGATGTGATTAAACCGCGGGTCCGCCGGGCGGGGCGGGAGGAGGAGGATGAGCCGGGCGGGGACCCGGCGAGAGACACGATGGGGTCTGTGCCCGCTGTGAGGGGGGGCTGTGCCCGCTGTCATGAGGGTCTGTCCCCACTGTCATGAGGGGCTGTGCCCGCTGTCATGAGGGTCTGTCCCCACTGTCATGAGGGGCTGTGCCCGCTGTCATGAGGGTCTGTCCCCGCTGTGATGTGAGGTCTGTCCCTGCTGTGAGGAGGAGCTGTCCCCGGTGTGAGGGTGCGCGGTCCCTGGTCTGAGGGGGGGTGTTCCCGCTGTGAGGGAGGGTCTGTCGCTCATCACAGTGTGATGGGAGGGTCTGTCCCCACAGCGATGGGGGGCTGTCCCCGGTATGATGGGAGGGCTGTCTCCGCTGTGAGGGGGGGTCTGTAGCCGGTGTGAGGAGCTTCTGCCCCGCTGTGATGAGGATCTGCCCCCGGTGTGATGGAGGGGCTGTCCCCGGTGTGATGGAGGGGCTGTCCCCGGTGTGATGGAGGGGCTGTCCCCGGTGTGAGGGGAGGGCTGTCCCTGCTATGATGGGGGGTCCATCCCCAATGTGAGGGGGGTCCATCCCCAGTGTGAGGGGGGTCTGTCCCCATTGTGAGCGAAGGTTTGTCCCCGCTGTGAAGGGGGGTCTTCTCCCAGTGTGAGGGGGGTCTGTGCCGGCAGGGCTGGGAGGCAGCAGCTGCTCCGCACCCACCTGTGCACAAGTGCCCTGTGGCCCTCCGGACTCGCAGCATCCAGAACAGAATTTTATATATAGAGACAGATATATCTATAATACCCAGACCATATTAAAAGTGCTTCTCAGGTTCTCAACTGCTAAATTAGCGCATCAGGAATTAGACCGACAGGTGATAACATCTGCTTCTGCTGGCTCCTGCTGGTTTCTGTGGCTCCCTGGCAGTACCAAGGCACGAGAAGGGCTGGACTTTGCTGCACGGACTTTTCAGAACAGGAGGAGGAATTACCCAGGTGTAAAACCCCACGCAGGTGATTTCGTATGCCACACTGATTGTGGAGCTTAAGTTTAAGCAAAATGTTTTAATACACAGAATGTATTGATGAAAGTGATCGGATTTCTCTTCCTAAGCATTTATTTTTCTGTTGTCATCAGTGAGTAGAGGGAAATACTAATAAAAATGCTGTTCTAGTGAAGGATCATGAAACAGCAAAGGTGTTCACTGTGAAACTGCTCTCATTGAAAGAGTAGAAAAGGAGATTTTTTTTCCTTTTTTTCACTGCCATGTTCATAACATCAGAATATTCACCCTTTAAGTTTAAGGTTCATGTTTGTGATGTATTCTCTCAGTTAATGTTTTTAAAGGGCAACACTGAAGAGCCTCATCCATACCAATGTATTCTGCCTGCAGAACATTGCAGACAGATTTAGAACTGAGCTAACAGATCTGGGAAAAGTGGATTTAAGTTACCTTTCCTTCCCATCCTCCTCTTTTCACTCCCCTGATCGTGTTTGCCTAGAATATTCTCTAGTTTCACTTTTTTTTTCCCCCTCATGCAAATCTATCATGTGTCAAACTAGAAAGCAAATTATCTTGTCAAATTACCCGTTGCTTTAATTTACTGCCAGACTGGGTCCAGTTAATTCACTGGAAGGCTTGACCTTGATTTATGGTGCTGATTCCTCAGAAAGAACTGGAGGGAGAGAGGGGAGTTCTCTGTACCATTGCATATACCAGCAAGGTATACAGCACATACCCAGCAAGGTTTTGTCCTAATACTGTATGTAATCAACTTGATAAAGGTTTAGGTGTGTTACTTAATACTTTGGGGAATTGTGGGTTGAGTACTTATTTTTCTGTAAAAAACATATTAATTACATTTTATACCACTCTGCAAGAAAGTTCCAGGAGAAAAATGCCAAAGACGGTGTGGTAAAAGGAACATGATTTGAAGAACACTATTTAAAAACTAAATAAATGAATATTTCTGGAAAACAAATCCTTTCTTTAGAATAACTCACACCAAGTGTTCCACGTGTGAAGGGATCGTGTGACTCCTTCTCCTCAGGAACAACAATCCTTCGGAGCAGCTTCATCCCAGTTTCCTATTGTTGTCTTCACTGCTGAGACACCACCAAGTTTCGTGTCTGTGACGTTCCTCCTGGACCACAGATCTGTCAGTGTGGGAAGTCCAGCCAGTAAAATGCCAAAGCGATGCCAGGACCTGGAGCAATTAATGCATAAGCACTTAGAGAGAAGTGCCATCAGAACAAGTGTGCTCACAGTTACAGCCTAAACGGCAAAGCAAAGTGCAGCTGGAAGGAATTCCTGTGGGATCAACCCCTGGATGATCAGCAGGCTCCACCTGCTGGGCTCCCTGTGCTGGAATATTGAAACTACATCTCCAAACATGCCCAGAGCAGCTCCCAGGGGTTACACCTGAGTTGGAGACATCCAGACTTTGGGAGCACTCTGGGTGTTTGCCTGGTGTCCGGGAGCAGGATGGAATTATGGAATTCTGGAATCCCTTGCACGCTGCTACACGAGTTTATTTCTTCCAAATTATAACCTTGGCCTCCTCAGTCACCAGTCAGTGGTTTGGGCCCTCTCTGTGTCTGATGTGCAGGAAGAATGCCTGGCTGGAGGGAGCATTATGGATATGTGTGTGTCCCCCAGGGCAGAGTCTGTCCCTCCTGCCAGCCAGGATAAAGATGAGGTATAAAGGCTGGAGCAGTACTGCTCACTCCTGGTAACTAACTCCTGCAGCAATCCCACGTGGAGTAAGGAAAGCCTGGGGCTGCAGCCGGACAGGGGAACATTTAAAAAAAGCAAAGAGGGGCTTGTTGGTTCATACACCCAGTCTCTTGGCTGCCTGGGGAGACAAAGTCTTGTAAAGATGCAGTGGGATTATTGTATTTTATATACAGAAAAAATACTGTCACAGCTTGTCAGTGCAGAGCTCCAGGGCTGAGAGCTGAGGTCACTTCCCAACAGAGCTGGTCACAAACTCAGATACAACGTCAGGCACTGCCGGGGAAGGCACAGAAGGAGCACGGGAAAGAGGGAACACACCCGAGGGGTGGGGAATGGCTGGTGTTGGGGTGAGAACGCCCAGACTGCGCTTCAGCTCATCCTACAGCCATGGAATAACTCAGATTGGAAGGGTCCTCCCCAGGCTGCCGGATCTATTGTCTTGCTTGGAGTAAAATTCCTCCTGAACTCCACCTGGGGTGCTCAGGGCCTCGGGTGCTGAGAACTTCCACGTTTCCGAGGCGTTTTGTGTCGTTGGTGGTTGGGTCTGGGGTTTGGTTTGTCAAGTCAGGGCATCCCTATTTCAGCGCGTTCCTACTGCAATTCTTCTACTTTCACTCGTTTGATGGAGAGTTTTCTACCAAACAGTCCTCCGGAGCTGGGAGGGGCCCGGGGGCTGTCCTGGGCCACCCATCCTCCCCTCCGACCCAGCGGTCACTCCCGGTCATTCCCGGTCTGTCCCCGCCGCTCCCGCCGCCATTCCCGCGCCGCTCGACTGCTCTGCGCTCCTCCGCGGGCGGGTGGATGCGCTCGGCGCTCGGCAGCGCCGCCTGCCGGGGCCGGAAGCAGCGTCCGGTCTGAGGCTGGGCCCGGCTCAGGCGGGCTCGGCTCGGCTGGACTCGGCTCGGCTGGACTCGGCTCGGTTGGACTCGGCCCAGCTCGGCCCGGCCCAGCTCGGTTCGGGCGGGTCCGCGGCGCCGCCATGGTGTAAGGGGCGGCGGGCGGGGGCGAAGGGGCCGAGCCGGAGCCATGAACCTGCTCCCGGCCAACCCGCACGGCAACGGGCTGCTGTACGCCGGCTTCAACCAGGACCACGGTGAGGCGGGGCCGGGCCGGGACTGCGGGCACGGGCGGCTGCGGGGACCGCCCGGGGCCGGGCTGGGGCCGGGGCGGCTCCCGGCAGCGGGCGGGGACCGGGGCTCGTCGGTGCCGGGTCCCGCTCACCCCCCGGGGCTGCGGCGGGAGCGGCTGACGGAGCCGGGGAGGCCGGAGAATTTAATGATCGTCCCGTTGTTTTGGCTCTGGCGCGGCCCTGTGAGCGCCCAGAGATGGGGGGGTGAATGGGGGAGAGCACAAGGACGGGATTGTTGAAGCTGGTTGTGCTCGGCTGCCCCCCGAGTGTCGGAGCCTGAGCTCGGGGGTTATTTGGGACGTGCATCTCTGAAAGGTGACTCAGAATGACCTTTCCTCTCTGTGAGTACTTGACATGCAAAGCCAGGGGTGTCACCGCTTTTCCCTTTCTTTTTGCCTGCTTTGCATTTTAAAAGTCGTGGTTAACACTACTAATGACACTCAGGCAAGCACAGATGCATGTCCTGCTGCAAATCCCCACTGCATCCCTTTTCCCTGTGTTAGGGAAGGGAAGGCCTGGTCCAGAAAAGGGTGGCTGGTACCTCATCTCTGCTTTTGCAAGACACAAATAGCACCAGCCCGATGAGTACGTGTCATTTTGGTGGAATAAGGAATAGAAGCTCATCATTTTGTAACATCCTTTTGCCTTAACAAATATTACTCTTGCCCAAGACAGTCTTGAAGCTTCTGTCATAGACTGCAGCTCTTTTACTTGTTGCTGACACTGCTGAAGTCGTGTGTAAACACGAATTATTGTGTTGATTTTAGTCAAACACCTCTGGTCACATCTTGGCAGGAGCACATCAAGCTGGTGATGAGGTGTTAGTGTCTTTGCAGCTCTCTAAATGCCACTCAATTGACTTGAAAAGAACAGAACAGCCTGATTTTCAGCAGCTCTTGTCTTTGCAACAGAGATGGAAATTAATTTTGAGGATGAGCTGAATTTCAAATCTGCAGGGTCTGTAACAGAGTGGTGATATTTGGTGCTTGAGCTGTGATGGAACTGAGTTATACAGAGAGCTGTGTAAGAGAAAAATGCCTTTAGATCATTGTTTTAGTGTAAAACTTGATTGTTGCAAAGGCTTACATAAATTTTGTAGCAGTAAATGCAAAATAACCCCTTTTTTTTCTGAATATACACATCCAAAGTACCACGAGGAATTTGTCTTGGGAATCTGAGAGCTGGCAGTGTTCACATCCCATCCAACCTCTCCTGGCGAGGCAATTGAGGGACGACAAAAAGCTTGAATTAAAAACACATTTAGCTTCCATTTGGCAGCTCCTGGAGCTGTTCCTGGTAGGAATGACGACGTTGGCACTGCAGGTGTCACACTGACACTTTATTAGTTTAGGGCAGGTGATGTTTGGAGAGCAGGGAGGAGGGAAAGCTCCTGCTTCCTTCTCCTTGCCGGGAATAGAACATGAGTCACTGGAGTGCTGGGGCTCACTCTGTGGGTGTCTCATGGATTGTCACAATAACCTAATTCCTTACCAATTTAACACTGGCCAATCCCACAAGGATGGGAGAGCACGAGGAACCATCTGAGAAGTCTCTCGGGGGCTGGACCTCCCTGACAGAGCAGGGAGAAAGTTGCTCTGCCATGAGCCTCCCCCCATTTGTTGGAGTGATGCCCTTTTTCCGTGAGGTGCCTTTGTCACTTTGGGGTTTTCAATTGAAACTGTAACACAGGGAAATGGAAGGGCTTGTGGGTTGTGTGAATACTCAGCCTGTGTGCTCCTGATTCCAGGCCCTTTTCCAATGCTTTCAGAGGACTAAAGTGCTTCTCAGAAATGAACAGACAAAACATCATCACAAGTGACCACCCCAGACAGTGCACCTGTAACTTGCTGACACGTTTCTCTTTTGTCACTGTGGCAGCCAAAAGCTGGTTTGAAAACTGAAGGGTGGGTTTGTTCTGGAGTTGAAACACGTGGCTGATGCATTTGCTCTTCTCCAGTGGGCTGGAAGGCTTCTCTGTAGGACCTCCCAATGTTGGTAGGGCCCTGTGCTCTCTCTTGTGGCTTTGGACAACATTTGTTGTGCCAAGGAAAACCACCATGGCAGGAGCTGTGCCAGCTGTCATAGTTTCCCTGGGCTCCACTGCTGCCACTGCTGGACCTCAGGTCCTGAATCCTGTGGGCTTCCCTGGGCCAAGGTACTGCCTTCAGCTTATGGCATCTTCCAGGCGGGGCATTAATTTAACTCTTCTTTTTTCTGTGGATTTTGAGGAACAAAACTCACTGTGGCCTCGCTGGCACGAGCACAGCTGCAGGTTGGGGCAATAACTCTGTAATAATGACATTAAAAAAAAAATTCTGGGTTATCTTCTGTCAGTGGCTCTTGGCCAGCACATCTGTCCCTTCCTGAGGTGGGAGGTCATCATCCATGGAAGGCAGTGAGCCTAAGGAAGTGTTCCCTCCTCTCAGCCCCCTCCAGCTGTCTCACTGAGAAGGGCTCACAAGCTGTAGCTGTCAAATTTGTCATCCCACTGGTAACACTGAGATCAGATGGGAATCCCTGAGCTCCAAAGCTGCTCCTGTAACCTGGCATTGAAGGAGGAGCAGGGATCTTCCTGTGTGTTTTTCTCTCCTGTTTGACTCAGGGGTTTCCGTGCCTGGGAGCTCCACATCTCTGTGGGTAGGGATGGAATCTCACCGTTACTCACATCCCCACCTGCTGCTGGGTTGTCTCCCGTTAAAAATGGAGACATTCCCAAGGCACTAAAGCAGCCCACGCCTTAGTCATGAGCTTGGCCCTGCAGAAGCTGTAGAGGTGCTACGGGAAGGGTAAAGTCTGGGTTTGATTGCATCAGGAATGCTCCCTTTGGGTGGCTGGGAGCTGCTGGGATCAGCACAACTCCAACCTTACAGTGCCCTCTTACTACAGAGCAGCTTCAGCACCCTCCCCTTATCCTGGAAATACAACGTGGGGTTAGAAAACTGCTGCTGGGAAATGATTCTGTGGCTCAGCTGCCAGGAGCAGCTCCTGTGCAGCTTTGCTTTATGCAGAAAGAAAGGTTTCCACTGCCGTTTGCTCCCTGGTTATCCCAGTACCGCCCTGCCCGGGGCAGCAGCTGCCTGAGCTATGAGTTCAGGGCACCACACACTGCCAGGGCAGACCTGGGAGGGCACGAGGTGCAATGAGCAGGGGTCAGGGAAAAGCCTATTTCAATATGGTTGTTAATCTTGCTGTAGTTATTATATTCTCATTAGCCACTCTCTGGGTGTGTTTATGTATGTAAAGAACTTTAACCACTTAATTTATTACAACCTCGTGGACAGGTACCTGGGAGTCCTTTGGGTTGAGGGAGTAGGTTTTTGTGTATTTTGTTTTCTTTCTCTACACGCCCTGGGATTTTGGGGGTATCAAATTTGGGGAAGGGGTGTGTTTAGACAGAGCTCCTGTTTTTATCTGGGAGGTTCTAATCGTTGCAGTGCATAAGAATAGAACCAGAGTAATTGGAACATCTGTTCCGTACCTCAGAGATCTTTAACTGGATTTTTGATACATTGCACACAAATTTTGTAGCAACCAACCTGCTGTCAGGCTGCTGCCAGTGGCAGCAGCTGCTCCTTGGTGACTTGTCATTGCTCTGACTTCACACTGGCATTTCTTGGTACCAGTGCCTGCATTCCCTTAGCAGGGGAAGGGCAGGACAGGAGATTGGTAGTTCGATGGATTCCACTGAAGAGGCACGTGCATAATTCTGTACAAAAAAGTAACTACAATTATTTTCCAGAGTGTTTTAATCTTGGAGTGTTTTAATCAGAGTGTTCTACTTGTGTCCTGGGTTGGACTTCAGCTACTGGCATGTCATTATTGGCATTAGCACAGTCTGAAAAGCTGTTTGAGGAGCTCTGTGCTCTGGAAACATCCACAGCAGAGTCATAATTGTGGGGTGAATTCAGATCTGTTGAGAAAGGAGGGGGTTTCCTTCATAATGACTGTTGGGCCATAAACATTAAAATGCTGATTTCCTTCCCTCTGTAGCACAGGGCATAGGATACAGGTGGGTTGGGAATAGGTTTCCTTTCCTTCCATTGTTTTCTTACCTGTCTAAAAACAATACCGAGACCTTTGCACCAGGCCAGAGAACAACTCCTCTGAAGGACTTTCACTTGCCATCACTAACAGAGCCCGTGAGTGCTTGAGTGTTACAATGCAGTTGTCAGTAATGCTCTCCTAACCCTCTGGCTCTTGCTTCCTTCTCGAGTGTATCTGGCAATTACTATATATATGTGTGTATATATGTGCTTTTTACCACAGGATGCTTTGCATGTGGAATGGAAAATGGATTCCGAGTTTATAATGCAGATCCTCTCAAAGAAAAAGAGAAACAAGGTAAAGCACTTCCTTACCCCACCGTGCTGCTCTGTGTTGGAAGCTCAGCCTCCTCTTTTTTTTTGTCACTGGTTCTTGCTCAGCTTTCACTGCTCCATCCCTGGAAGGCTTTGGATAAAGCCCCAGGAAGGGCAACTCCTGCCCCACAGGGGCTTTCACTCGTGCCACTGCTCAGTCAGATGTCTCAGTGCTGTTTATTTGCACAACTGGCTGATGAGGGATTTGTCTCACCTATAACACAGTTGAGTTGGCTCTTGCTGATGTTTGTAGCCTTGAGTAGGAGAGGAGTTGGTTATCCCTGAGCAGGAGTCACTCCCTGCAGCAGTTATGCACCATCAGAAGTTGTTCCTTTCTCCTGTGGTGACCTGGATGATCCAGTGTGGCAGTAAAACTCCAGCCCTTTTCCTGGAGATCTGAGCATAACATTTCTCATACCCAGACTATTGTCTGCAAGAGCACTGAGAGCTCAGACCTCTAATACTCTACATCCTGCCTTCTCTGTATGCCTAAAAAATCTGGGAGGACCTTAATGCAGGAAAGCTACTCCCTCGTGTTTGAACAGAAATCAGTAGGTGAGCTGTATTAACAGTGAGGCTTTTTTATCAGAAAGCAAACAAACCCAAGTCAAAATAGGGGAAACTGAAACCCAGCCATGTGATTCTAACCCTGAATATAGGAAGTGAGTTGCTAAACAGGTTTCCCAGCACTTCCAGCCTGTGGTGATAAAAGGGATTTAATAAGAGGAAAAATGTACTTAAATAAGCAATTCGTATGAAACCAGGCACACTTTCACTTTCTACTGCTGTAAAGGATTTTAGTCACTGTTCACGTGGCGAAAACTATTTTCTGCTCTTAACAGTAAATTCTCCCATAAGCAACATGCCTTGGGACTGTCACCTGTGACAGTGTGCTCAAAGGATCAGGACTCAGCCTGGAGTCCTGTGGAGTGCCTTGTCAAAACTCTCCCTGCCAGTAGCTCTGGATGGAGATAATTCCAGGACTCCTGTGGTGACAAGTTTCTTATGAGTCAGATTGCTTTTTCCCTGTGGGTTCTGAGCACTCTGAACTGGCTGTGTAGGTACACAGAGAGATCCTGTTCATCATTCCTGTAGATTTAAACCTGCCTGAGATGGTCCCAGCTGGAGTTGTCTGTTTGATTGCTCTCTGAAACCCAACATGAAACCAAGTCTTAACTGTTGCAACCCCCTACATCCAGGAGTTCCATGATGTTCCCATCCAAGCACTGCCCCTCAGAACTGTGCAGATAATCATTCAGTGCTCTAACACAGATTCAGGACACATTGCAGCCTCTCAAACTGTCCCAGGTTATCACTTGTAAATATTTTAGGCCTTTTTGTCACAATGATAATCCCTTTTCATAGCAAAATGTGCCATCCTGCTTCAAATGCTTTATGGAGTCAAGAGGAGGATGTGGTGCAGAAGGGGGTAGTGTCCAAAACTCCTCAGGAAGGAAACACAGCACTCAGAAGTGCTGTTGAAGAAACCACAAGGGCTTATATGAAATCCAGGACTTTACTGCTCCAGTGTGAGGAACTTTCATGGAATTTACCTCCTCTGGTTTTGAAGGGCAGCCAGGGTAGGAAGATGCTGTTCTTCTCAGGTGCCTGGGAGATGTGCTGGATAATACGAGCTGTTCTTGTAACAGTGGTAAAAACTAGATGGCCTTTTAACAGGTTCTGACGCTTCTAAATAAAATATTTGTCTTCCAGAGTTTGTAGAAGGTGGCGTTGGCCACGTGGAAATGTTGTTTCGTTGCAACTATTTAGCACTGGTGGGTGGAGGAAAGAAGCCGAAGTACCCACCCAACAAAGGTGAGCTCCAGGGAGGGACCCTGCAAACATCTGCCTTGGCCTGTGTGACCCTGCCCAGAGCTCCCAAAGCCACGCCCTGGGCTGGCAGTGGGTGTCCTGAAGGGTGAGGGGGATGTTGCAGCAGGTTTAAGTCACCCTGGTGCAGGGAGTTGCAGCACTGCTGTGGCAGCAGGAACAGGCTGGTACCTGCAGTGACAGGTCTCAGAGACCCCCTGACTTTCTCATGGTGAGCTTTGCAAGGAGGGTCTGTCCCAGCAGCCTGAGGGGGAACCTCCCTGGCTGGAAAGATTTGTAAGAAAATATGCTACTTTTTTCCAACTGCTGCATTATTTCTTTGATAACCCTCAGAGCAAACAAAAAAAAAAGCTGCTTTTCTTTAGGAAGTTGTATTTTTGTTGTCATTTTTTGTGGTTGGAGTTTGCAGCTCCTGCCTGCACAAGGGGGTTGATATGTGGTGGCTCAAGACCTGGTTTGCAGGGTGTCCATCTGCAGCTGCTTAGCCATGGGGTGCCCCTCTTGGTCAGCCTTCTGAGGAACTGGAAGTTGTTATCAGGGACACAGTGTGGATCTTTGGATCTGCCTTGATGGTCTAACACAACCTCTGCACTGTTCCAGTCATGATCTGGGATGATCTGAAGAAGAAGACTGTCATCGAGATCGAGTTTTCTACAGAAGTCAAAGCAGTGAAGCTGCGAAGGGACAGGTGGGTGAAACAGAGGGGTCCAAAAGCTGAGCGTGGCTTTGTGCTCGTTTCCAGCTGCTTTAGAAAGAAAAAGATGCTGCTGTAGCCCCAGCAATTACAGGTAAAACAGGCTTTTGGGGCAAGTGTTGGGTGTAAACAGATCACAGGTCGAGTATACTGGGATGTGAAACCTTGGTGAAAAGCCTGTGAGACTTCCCAGCCCCCTAATGCAGGGAAATATTCTCCTGTGGCTCCTGCTGGCTGCTTTTCTGGGTCTGGAGGAGTGTGAAGGGAATTCCAGCAGCTCCCTGGAGCAGGAGCAGCTGTGAACAGCTGGAGTCTGTGTGTGCGTGGGCGGAGGGGCTGGATAAAAGTACTTTGCAGGCTTATCCTTGTGTGGTTTTTGCAAGGCTGGGAGTCTGTTGCGGGGGAGGGCAGGAAGAACATGGCTATTAAATCACTTGAAAGCCTTTGCAGGTCTGAATGAATGTCTGTGTCCCTGTTTTACCCACCCCAAGTCCCAGGAACTTCTGCTCTGTTTCAGAATTGTGGTTGTCTTGGACTCGATGATTAAAGTTTTCACGTTCACACACAATCCCCACCAGCTGCACGTCTTTGAAACCTGCTACAACCCTAAAGGTTAGTTCTACATGTGGGCTGGGGGATGGAAACAAGTTTATTCTGTTCTTGACGTGCCATTTATCTTCAGCTGCCTCACTCAGTTCTTTAGAAGTCATTAAACACTTACTGCACTGCAGTTGTGCCCTTTGGAGATGCTTTTGTTTATAAAATGGTTATTAGAATTTATAAAGACTTGGCCCAGAAAAGCTGTTTCCTGCACTCATTTATAGATGTGATTTCTGTAAGAGCTACACACTTCCTTCTGTAAAGAACATGGGAACTGGATGTATTTTGTGCTGAAAGCTTAATTAGAAACACAAATAGTACAGTGCATCATTGCAAACACTTTGACAGTGCCACACCATGGAACAAGGGGTGCTGTATGGGGAGGATCACCTTGGATGTCAGGAAGGTTTCTTCTCCACCAGGAGGTTATTTGGGATTGGAGTCCCCATCTTTGGGACTCTGGAGCAAACATGGAATGCAGCTCCAGCCCCCTGACTGACTGTGACAGGCAGGGGATGCAGGAGAAGGAGGTTGTTTCTTGTGCTGAGGTTGCAGGAATTCATTTGGCATCAGCAGGACATGTGGGATTGGTGTGATTTACCTTAAATGGGCCACAAAATATTACAAAGGAAAAAGTGCCAGTGCTGCAAGAACCAAGTTCAAACAGGAGTTACTAATAATCATCAGGATGGAGCAGAAACTCAGATATCACCTCTGATAAACTCTTACCCTTTCTGAGCCACTAAAGAGACTTAATAACTTCTTTTCTAAATGGCTTTGCTGTGATGGGCTGATGGAGCTGATCTCTGAAAACACCCAGATTCTGGGTAACCACAACTAGAGAACTTTGAAATAAAGTGATAGGAGCAAGTTAAAATTATGCTACTCCCCTGCTTTGCTGTGCTCTGCACTCATGGATGGGTCATGTTTTGGGATCCTGCACCAGCCATTCAGATGAGATTCTGACTTGCTCCATGTCTGTTTGCTTATGGTGAAATTATTGGTATTTTAGAAACTTACATTTGAAAACATTGGTTTATGGAAATAATCCAGTTATTCTCTTTTTTTTTTTTTTGTGTGTCTTTCAGGTCTCTGTGTCCTTTGTCCAAATAGTAATAATTCTCTTCTTGCATTTCCTGGGACACACACTGGGCACGTGCAGATCGTGGATCTGGCCAACACGGAGAAGCCTCCCGTGGACATCCCGGCCCACGAAGGAGTCTTGAGCTGTATTGCTTTAAACCTGCAGGGAACAAGAATTGCAACAGCATCAGAAAAAGTAAGAGTGATGTCCCTGCCTCTGACCTACTGTGTGTTCCAGTGTCACAAATAGGAAGTCACATCCTTTGTAGGAAAGACAGAGAAATACCTACCGGGGAAATTTGTCACTGGAATGTGCATTCCCTTTATCTTCACTGCTCCTCTGGGATCCCCAGACACCAACAGCCAAGGGCTGTGCCTGAGGTAGTGCTTATGTTTTAGCTGACTGGAGCAGTGACTCTTCAGTGACAGAAGCCTGGCCCAAGCAGCTCACAGCTTTCATGTGTTCTTCTACAGATACTGTTAATTTTTTTAAAAAGCAGGAGGAGAATCTTATTTGTATTCTTTCACCTTTATTATTTTCTGCTTAAACTCACTTCACACCCACTGGCTAAAGAAATGCTTGCAGATAGGTCTGTCCTGCCAGAGGGATTTGTTCTGCCAGGGCTTGGCCCCTGGTGCAGAGCAGGAGGGGGTGGCTGCTCCCCTCCTTCTGAAGTGGTGTGTGCACCCCTGTGGGACTAAAGAGACAACACACTGACAAAAACCTCAGGTTAGGGTGCAGCTCAAATGGTGACAGACCTGCCCTCTCCCTGGGAACCCCTGGGAGGGCTGCCAGGGCCCTTCATCTCCCCAAGGAATGTCAGGCAGATGGACCCATCTCCCTGAGGCAAGAGGAGCACTCGCTGCCTTCTTCCACTCAAATGAAAGGAGTTTCTCAAGGACGAGCCAAATGAATCCAACAAGTCTCTCCTTTGAACAGTTTCTACTGCCCAGCCTGTCACTCAAACAGCTTAAAAAAAGAAAATGCAGCCACAGTCTCCCCTAACTAAGCTTAATGGCTGCATGTCTTCTAAACAGAGTTCTTAAAGCTGCCAACTCCATTGCTAAGTAGACTCATTATCTGCTGCATTTGTATCAGGATGTTCCTTGTTTTGTACAGAGAAAAAGTTCAAACAGCTTTTATTTTCCAACCAAACTAGGGAGTCTGAGCACAGTCAGCAAACATCCTAAGCCTGTCTCTTAAATCAAAACTAAGCTGAGTTTACCAAATCTTTCTCTGCTGGGTTCTGTTACCTCCTGGTGTGTGACTGGAGAGCTGCACCTGTTAACCAGGCGTGTAACAGGACTGCAGGTGATGATGGACAGCTCTGAATTAATTCAAAGACAAGTCAGCCACAGCCTGATTATGCTTTGTGGGAAAGAATTGCAGGGTAGCACTGAAAATGGCAGCACTGACTGAGGGAGCAAGGCAGAAGTGACTCCAGAGCCTGGGCACACTCCAGGGTCTGCCAACCAGGGCCAGGGCTGTGCTGGTGCTTTAGAACAGAGCTGAAAGAAGCTTGAGTTGAGGAGCCAAGTGACAAGGTTGTACAGCACAGCACTGACACACTGTGGGGCTGGTGTGGGGGCAATCAACGTTCTTCCCCAAAATTAAAACAGGTTCTCAAATCTAGCAAGAAGAAAACCCCCCCGAGGTGTGTGCAGGGACACACTGGTCAGACAGAGTTTTAGGCTGCATTCACAGATGTAAAGAGAATCTTCTGCCTTTCCTAATACAAGGCTTGATTCCTTTTCAAGGGGACCCTTATAAGGATATTTGATACTTCATCAGGGCATTTAATCCAGGAGCTACGTCGAGGATCACAGGCAGCCAATATATACTGGTATGTCCAATGTACTGGTATGTGCAATACACTGGGATGTCCAATACACTGGGATGTTCAGGTGCTGTGCTGAGCACAGATGTGCTGCCTGGGCACACAGAGCCCTCACAGGGCCCAGGGCTGCTCTGGGCTCACTGCTGGGGAGGGGAGGGAGGTGGGAGGTGTGTGGAGCCTGGCACAGGGCACAGGGGCTGGGACAGAACCGTGTGTGGTGCCAGGCCGTGCCCAGCACGGGTGGGAGCTGGGGATGCTGAACTGACACCGACACTGGGAGGGCCCCGATGCACTTGAACACTGCCCAGGGACTGGAGAGCTTGGGGCAGGGTGGGGCTTCAGCACCACATCCTGCTGTGGGGGGAGTGCCCAGGACAGAGGTGTGACTCTGCCAGGAGCAGGGAAACTCCCCCTCCTCGACCAAGCCCCATCTGGGGTAGGAATGTTACAGGTTTTGCCCACTCTTGGAGCAGATCTCCTTTTCTTCCAGGAGTGTCAGAGTGGCCCACACCTGTGGTGTCCATGTCAGGGAGTCCTGCTGCTCCTGCCACTCCAGACCCTGTTCTGAGTGCAGGCTGTTCATCCCAAGGCAGCCCTGGATTGGGGAATCTGGGCTGTTCATCCCAAAGGAGCCCTGGACTGGGGGAGCCCCAACTCCTACAGAGAGGAGCTGTTCCCACCCCAGAGCGGGCTGGCAGCTGCTGTGGGCAACTGCAGCAGCAGAACTGTGTGTGCCAGGGGCTGTGGGTCTGTCCCAGGAGGGATCCTGCAGTGTTCTGTGTTCTCTGCAGTATTAACTTCAATCAGGATGCTTCCCTCATCTGCGTCTCCAGCGACCACGGCACAGTTCACATCTTTGCTGCAGAAGACCCTAAAAGAAATAAGCAGTCAAGGTAGGGACTGAGCCTTTCTGAAGCCGGGGAGGGGGGGCCTTGAGCTTTTAATGGCATTTAAAAAATGGTTGTGTCACTCAGTAGCAAATCCCTGCACTGCTGGAGGCAGCGAGATTGATCTGCTGGGCTGGAGTGAAGCTGCAGATTTAGGGCTCTGTAGTTAAACTGCCAAGTTCCTGCTGTCCCTTGTGGAGCGGCAGAATTCCAGCAGAGGGTCAGGGTGGGTTTTAGTGGATCTCAGCATGAACATACCTTGTGGACACATCCCTCTGCTAAAAATCAATCCTTTGGCAGCTTTTCCAGTCACTTGAAAATGTAAAGGTAGTTGTAGGGTCTCCCTTGCCAAGAAGGGGAATTGTCCAGGTTACCTGATACTTGGTAAAAGATCATAAAAAGCCAGTCAAAAATAGTGTGAGCCCTTTATCTTGTTCAGTCGCTCCAGCAGTTCTGAATCCACTCTACTCAACACCACACTAAACTGTTATTTTTTTTCTCTCTTTCAGTTTGGCCTCTGCCACCTTTCTCCCAAAATACTTCAGTTCCAAATGGAGTTTTTCCAAATTCCAGGTTCCCTCAGGCTCTCCGTGCATTTGTGCCTTTGGAACAGAGCCAAACGCTGTCATAGGTGAGTGATGGAGGAGTCCCCAGGTTCTGGGTGGAGAGCCAGGGTTTGAACTACCCTGGTTTGGAGCTGGAGGGAACCCTCTGCTGAGACAGGGCTGTGTGTCCCTGTCAGCTCTGGCTGCTCCCACTGCCCAGGGAGGGAGGCACAAGGCTGGCACAGCCTGTGCTGACCAAGGCTGGTGGCCCTCAGGTCTCTCCAGAGCATCTCTGGGTGCTCTGTGAGCCTGAAGGGAGGGTTGTGTTGTAGCTGAAGAACAGAAAGGCACAGCCCAGCTGACCCTGCTTGTTTGTGTTGCAGCAATATGTGCAGATGGCAGCTACTACAAGTTCTTATTCAACCAAAAAGGGGAATGCTCAAGGGATGTGTACGCTCAGTTCCTAGAAATGACAGATGAGAAGCTTTGACTGGGTGGAGGGGAGTGCACGAGTCACAGCCCTGCCTCGGCCACTCCACACCTCTGAGGGACAGTTATGAATGTCCAGTACTGATCCAGAAGTTCAGCAGAGCTCACGGAGAAGCCTGGCCCACCGTGATCACAAGCAGCTCTGAAGTAGTGGACTACATATGTTTGTTCTCATTTCTGCAAGTATTCATCATTAAAATCTCTTTGGGTTACTGTCACCAACTCAAGTTTTCAAGATGTGGCTTTCGACAAGCTTGTGCCTACTGGGTTTCTCTTACTCCAAACTGTGACATGACTTTGGCTCCAGCACCGTGCCTGCCACCCCCAGGGCTGGCCTTAGGAGAAGGGATGTGAAACCACAAGATTTCAGGCATTGCTTTACTTCCACTGCATGGCTGGGAGGGGGGAACGCTCTGGGTGATGCTCCCTCTGCCAGCCTGGCCAGGAGCAGAGAGGTGACAGACTTGCAGCTCGAGTTCTGCTTGTCCCCTGCCCTGTGCAGGGGCTGGGTGGGGGCAGTGGTGGGGCCCTGCCTGTGCAGGGCAGGGATCAGCATGAACTGCCCAAGGTGCCAAACTCCAGAGCAGTGGAGGCACCTCTAGGCAGGGGCTGACCCTGCGTGTGCACAGCAAACACCCAGGGCCCCTGTAGCTGGAGAGGTGATTCCTCCTGTCCCCAGCAGCTGTTCCAGGTGTAAATCCCACTGGGTACTGGTGTGCCAGCTGTGCTGCCAAACTGCTGCCAGAGCCTGCAGCTGGGACAGGCCCTGTACACATCCAGCACAGGACTGAAGGAACTGCCAGGAATCCATGTCTGCAACGGCTTTAAACTTGCAAACTTGTCTTTTTTTCTTTGAGCTGTCGCATCCTATAGCTGCTGGCCCAGGACAGGTAGGTTAGACTGAACCCACTCACCTGTACACTCTTCCCCAACAGCTGTTACCCTATTTCCTGCTGACCTAAGGCACAAGCTCCTAACCCAGAACCCGAGATTAGCTCCAAGCTTGGCCTCTCTGGCACTAAACCCTGGGGCAGGGAGGTCCAGCTCTTCTGGACTCTTAATTTCACAGATGCTTCAGCCCTGACCTGCCAGTTCACTCCCAGATTGTTTAGCTGCAAACTCTGACAAGTCCCTTTTAGTGTCACGTAACCTACTAAGGACTAACTTACCATGTTGATGTCAAGGTTGCATGTTGCTTTTATGTGTATTTAACCACAGGAATTGTTTTGCACACTTATTTGTAATATGTTATTTCTTTTAAATAAAAGTGACTAACTTTGCTGTATTCACTGATGGTCACAGCCAAACCTTCCATTGCTCCAGGTTTGGGGGAATAAACACCTCTGTGAGTCAGGAGTGGTGGCTGGTGAAGGACAGGAGCTGAACCCACTGTGTGAGAGGGGACAGGAGCACTTGAACCACTGCCTGGGGCACATACCTTGGTGTTTATCCCAAAATAAGTCCAAACCAGTTCCTGTTCAGCACTTACCACTCACCACAGCTGCTGGGCTGAGGCTCCTCACCTTGTAACAGCTCTGTCAGCAGGACTAAGTGCAACTGTCATCTTCCCAGAGAAGGATGCGTGGGAAGGGCTGGAGCCCATTCTCCAAGTGTGCTGGAAATCCCCTCTCACTGGAGCAGGCAGGAGCTGCTCATGATCCCACCAGTGGGACTCGCTTTGAAGAGCAAGGAAACTCCTGAACTCCACCATCCTGCACTGCTCTGCACATCCTCAGCTGCTGGAGCACCGTCCCCCTGCCCTCCCATCCCAGTTATCCTGGAGCTGACAGAGACTATGAGTTGTTTCTTGGGAGATTTAAACTCTGCTGAACTTGTAAAACTTCCTCTAAACATCTCTGGTGTGGCAGCAGGAATGAGAACAACACACCTGTGTGGGCAGCCAGCAGTGCTGCACTGTCCATGGAATCCCCTAATACCAAATGGACTTGACCTCAAACTCCTTCTTCTGGTACTACCTGCAAATCTGTATCATTCAGTACACAGGCTGTTCTGCAGGGATCCAAATCCAGCAAAGGAATGAGTCTTCCCACCTGGCTTTGGCTCCAGGTTGCTCTGCCAGGACTTCATCACATCGCTCGCTGCTGCCCCGCGTCCCGTGGGTGAATTTAACCAGCGTTTGCACAGCTCTACAATCAAATGAACAGTGTTTAGTCAGTCATTTTTCTGGAAAATAAACAGTACTTTCAGGATTACAGCCCACTGATTGATTGATTGATTGGTTGATGGCACACATGGCCACAGTGCTGCAGGTTGGGATCACCCCCAGCCACGAAGACACGGCAGGATTTGCACAGTAAGTCTAAAACACAACTGTTCCTGAAACAAAGTATTCCCACCAGCAGCTGCTGTGTAAGTACATGGATTATCCATTTCTTTTCCTTCTCTCCCTGTTTTGCTGTCTCCTTCTGCAGCACCTGTGTCACAGTTCAAAATCCTGACAGGAAAAGTCTAAACAATGAGCCACTGCAATAAATTCTATGGCAATTCCAGGTGCCAGCAGAAACCACGGAACATGAAGATTTCTCTCAGAACTTTTGGGTATCCACACTGAAGTAGAAAATACAAGATTAATCAGTATTAATCAGTACAGTTGGCACATATGAGGCACGAGCAGTTCCTGCAGCCAGGGGCTGTGCAGGACACAACAGCCCTGGAGTGTCGCACACCTGGGAATGCCGGGCTGGGTCCCCGCTGCTCCCTCTGCCTCCGAGGCACAGGAACAATCACACCATTGCACTGCCTACAGCTTAAGCATTTATTTTTTTTTTCTTCTTCCCCAGATTGTGTTTGTTTGAACAAGCCAATGACTGCTCTGGTCAGCAGGAGATCAGGGGGAATTTCACACCACGGCCCATCCAGACCATTCCTTCTGTTACAGGAGCACATTCTGCTCTTTCTGCCCCAAACGCCCCAGCCCTTCCCAGCAGTTCCACAGCCCTCCTTTGCTTTCTCCCCAACTCCTGAAAGCACTGACATGAAAACTTGACCAGTAGAGTTTTCCTGGTTGTTGGTCAAAAGCATTTCCCCAACTCTGATGAGAAACAAAGGGAATGTAACGGGAAAAGGGGATCAGAAACCAAGCCCGTGTTCATGACAGTGATTCCACAAAGTGCCATCTCCTCACACTTCTTCACAGAAATAATGAACCATCTCAACACAGACACATTCCTGTGTCCAATTCCATGTGCACCAAAGTGTGAACCCCTGGCAGGGGCCAGTCCCAGACCCATCCATGCCCTTGGCTCCTGGGACACAGTGTCAGGAAGGGACACTTGGGCTTGTTGGGTCTGACACTGTCCTGTGGCACTGCCAGCAGAAACTGCATTAGTCACCCCAAAATATACATGAGTATTTCAAACAGACTTGTTGAGTAATTTCAACTTGGTTAATTTGCTGAATAAAATTTAATTTTATTTAAAAAATCTTATACACTATTATTCACCTAGCCCTAGTTGTGAACAGATTCTCACTTCTGAAAATAAACCACATTCTAGTCAATTCATTCAACACCAAATTAAATTACTAGTACTGGATTTTTTTTCTTAAAAAAAGTATGTTAAAACTTTACTTTTTTTTTTTATTTTTAAAACCTCTAAAGAAAACGTTGCAATTGTACAGAAATGCTTCATTTCAGGTTATGCTTTTTTTTTTTAAATGCCTGTTATAAATCCAGCTTGTGTAGAGTTTTTTTTTTCATAGTTTTTTAATATGTATTATCTGCAGAGACATTGTAACAGTTCCATTGTGTGGATGAACACAAAACTTGTACAGATTTCTCATATTTGGTCTTTAGGTAAATAGTTTCCAAAAGCTGCCTAAAATAACCACTCCAAACTGTTCAGTCCATCGTGAAAATACAGTTTTTCCTTTCACGGCGGGAAAGGAAATATAAATAATGCATCTTTATTACAGAACAGGACAAAAACCAGATTCCCATGAAGCCAACGCTTCCACTCACCTGGCTGCAGGAGGAACTAAGACGTTGTGTGAGTTGAAGACTGAACAGCAGCCTTGTTTCAATTGAATTTTGAAATGTAAAGTGGAATCTATTACCACATTAAAGTGAGAAATTACCGATACATTTTAAAATGTTCAACTGCAGAACACACACTTAAAAAAAAATAATAATAATTATTATTATTATTACCATAATCTGGTAGCCACTGTTAGAAAACCACAACAGCTACTGGTCATGGAGACCCCGGAGGTCAGTGTCTGACATCGAAGTGTTACAGAGAAATGGGGCAGATTAATTTCTACTCAAGGGTGCTTAAGCTTAAAAATATCGAATATACCTCTGACAAGATAATTTTACTCTTTTTAAAAGGACTCGTGATAAAGAATTTCCTCTTTCTAAATGAAGAACAGTCTGTTATCTTAAACATACACAATATTAAGCGAGACTCTTGTTTTACTTTAGACTGGAAAAATATGCCAGGGACAGTCAAAGTCAACACAAAGTAACAAACAGCAAAAGGTAGCAGAGAGAGAAACAGGTAAGTGCAGCTCTGGTCAAATCCATAGCAGTTCTTTACGTCAGTTAACGGCTCATTTACATCAGAGTTTCTAATCAGTTACATGCAAGCCCAAAGAAGCGTTTGATCACTACACATGGTAATAAAATTTGATTAAATTTATCAGGCAACTGCTAAAATATGAAAATTTGCAGATGTAATAAAGTAGCTTTATCTGAACTTGAACAGGACAGACAAAAGTAAATCATTCCGTTGGTTAAAAAAACCCTACATTCAGTTTTTTACCAAACAAAATTTCACATGAAAAGTATTTGTGTGATTCCAAAGTTTCCGGAGTAGAAATGGAGTGATTTGAAATGTCAAAGACCCCATCGTTTTGCAAAGAAATGAAAATACACCTCAAAAATTTTCTAATTCCACATGTGAACAACAAAATACTGCATTATCTACCAACAACTGCATGGGTGGGTGGTTCGGAAAGGCGTAGCTGCCACGGTGTCGGAATGGCTCCTGCCTCTGTTCCCTTTAGGAATATACAATCGTTAAACCAGTCACACTAAGCGCTATCATGCTGCCGTTACACTGAGATCCTCAGTCCTGGAAATCATCTGACAGGTCCTGTTAAAGCTGCAGCCCCCCCCAGCACACACAGTCCGGCGGGGCAGGAGCAGAGGGGGAACAGCCTCTACAACAACACGGTTCTGCAGTTTTGACTTTAAATTACCAAGTTTTAAGGCCACCTGTGTTTGGGTTTTGTTTCAGTGCTGAAAGTTGAAGTCTGATCACAGGGCCCCTTTCCCCACTGCGTGAGAACATGTTCCAACGTTTTTAGGTGTTAGATTTAAGTGTCTCCTTTTGGCACCACGGAGTTTGCGTTTGTTTTGTTTCTGTTTTTTTTGTTTTTTTTTTTAAAAAAAAAGAAAAAAAGAAAAACTCCCCTAAGTTTCTAGTTCTGACTGCCTTTGTCACTCACTGCCACGGGTGGGGTGTCCACGTTCACAGCTATGACTATGCTCTCTCCATCCTCTGTTTTGATACGTTTGAGTTCCTGCTGTTCCGACTGGTCTCCGTTCTGGCGCTTGGTGGGCAGCGACGCCGATGCGGACGCGTGGGTGGCCAACATATGCAAAGGACTTGCAGCAGCTGGAAAAGAGGGAATAAAAACCTCAGCACCCCCATCCTTGTCAAGTCAGAGGATATGGCAGCAAACCTGCACTGTCATTAAACGGTCAATTCCTTTATTGGCTCTAGGTGGAGCCCAGGTGAGATTTGGGGGCGATTGTTTAATCTGCACAACCTGAAGGACATTTTCCCCACTCAACATTCACACTGATTTGGACAGTGGGAGAACGGGGAAGCAGCTTCATTTAGTCACTGGAGAACTGAAGACAGGGAAAGATTCAATGACTGGAAGCAAATCAATACCATAACTTGTGACAGAACTGGGAAGTGGATTCACAAACCCTTTGGTAGGATCTGGCCATGTCTCTGATTCCTGCAGATGTGTGACATGGCCTAGAGGAGAACAGCACCGTGCCAGACCCAGCTGGGGCTGTAAGTCACTGCAGGAAAGCTCTGGAATTCAGAGCCAGGAGATGCACGTGGCACATGCAGCAATTCCCCTGGGAGGGGTAACGAGGCATTTGCCCACAGCGTAAGGGCAGGGCTGGAACAAGCACCAGTGGTACTGGACACATGATTAGATTCAGATCCACAACAGCATTAGATTGACAGAAAAATACAGTTTAAATATCCTATACCAGATTTTAATTCCCCTCCATGGACGAGACAGCACAGGACACCACTAATGGGCAAGTCCAGGCCTTTAATCCTTCAGACACCCAGAGGTTCCTCCCTCTGCCTGTGATCAGCACCTTCCTCAGTATTATTAATATTATTAAATCAGCCATTCAGTTTGCAAAGAATGCAAAATACTAATTACAGATTTACTCATTCACTGCACTTCAGGAAACTTTATCTAGACATTATCAAACCACCTGTGTTTTTCCTGCTCCCTCCTCTCAGACTTCACTGACATTATCACAGCATTCCCTGCTAGTGGAGCTGAAACATCCAGTCCATGAGAAATTATTATGTCCTAAATGTGTAATTTGTTCATAGCAAGCCATCCTAGAGAATACCTGGAATATCACCTCTGTATGTACCTAGCTGTAAATCAACTTGCTCTTGTATCTCAGCAGTCATTCAGCTCCCATTAGAAAAGTTACTCCTTGTACCATTTCTGAATAGGGGCCGTGAAGATGTAACTCCTAAATAAAATGCCTTCCTGCAAATTTATTGTGGCTTAAATAAAATCAAGAAGTTCACCTCTCACCTTCAAACACACATTAAGGCTGTCACTGCATTATCCTGTTCGATTCTTGCAGTGGAAGGTGTCACTGCCCATGGCAGGGAGGTGGAATGAGATGAGATTTAAGGTCCCTCCCAACCCAAAGCACCCTGTGATTCTGTGATTATTCACTCCAGGGTCTGGTGAGTAGCAGGAGACCCACTGGCTGCAGCCACAGCTGATATGTGGGAGTAGGAAACGCACAAAAGAACGATGATGTTTGAAATCTACACTGAAAGCTGAAACACAGAATATCCAGTTACAGAATTTTACTGTGCAATAAGAAGCCTGAGTTTCTTTTGGAGCTCAGAGAGTTCAGCTGACTCACAGGGACCAGGCAGTGCTGCCAAGCTGCTCTGCTGAGAGCAGGATCTCACAGCACCTGCTCACTACACATGGAAATGGAACAGGAGCTGCTCTGGATTTCTTTGCTTTCGGATGGCACAAATCTTTTCTCCAAGGACAAACACACACAAATGTGTGTGTAAACACAGACGTGC